TCTTTCTTTCTTTCTTTCTTTCTTTCTTTCTTTCTTTCTTTCTTTCTCTGTCTATCCTTCTCTCCTGTGTATGTGTGTGAAACCACACTTTTTAACGTTTTTTTAAAAAATGCAGTAGCTTTCACATCTAATTAGATTAGTATTACACACAAAGCACTCTTGAGAAAGAGCCAAGATTGAAGGTCTTGGGTTCCTCCATGTGCATTTTGCCCTCTTCCTGTTATGTGTGTGTGTCATCAATGTGTTATTTCTAAACAGATCACTGCAAAGACAATTATCTGTACTGCAAAGTTTAGTTTAGATAAGTTAATCTACAGATCCATCAAAAAAACATACTCCCAGCTACTTAAATATTTGGCCATAAACTAAAAGCAAAAGGCAGAGGGAGGGGCAAGTCATTACCGTTCCTCCCTCAGCAAGCCCCTGCTGAAGCCACAGTGATGATCTCCATGCCATAAAAATGGCTGATGTAGAATTTAACGTGTTTTTTAAAAATGATCTCTCCCTGAAATAAAACAATGAAGTTGTGATTTCACTGGCCCCAGGTCAAGCTTGTTTTGTAATTCATCATATATGATTGACAGGACTGTAGAGACCAGTCAGGTCAATCCCCACATTAAACATTCGGTATTTTAATTTCTTTTCTATTACCTAGATAAATGCTATGTTCAAGAAGAAAATTTTAATACCGTCTCTGTGTGCATAATTTAGTTCTTTGCCCCTGGTTACATATGATTCTGCTTCCATAGCCTACCTACTTTTCAAGACTACTCTACTTGGAGAGGGCAGGGCATGTCTCTGGAGAGTGAAGAAAAAAAAATGGGTGGGCTCGTTTTACTGTGCCTCTCATAAAGTAGGGAAGGACACGTTAGTTTGTTTTATTTACTTTTCTGTGGCCTGATTTTCCTTTGCACAGCTTAACACCTTTCCCAATCGTCTCCCAGCTATGGTCTAAAGCAATCTCAATGTTGAAGGGCAGAGGGAGGGAAGCTGCAGGTGCCGAGTGGCCGTGTAATACACTGCAGTTGATCTCTTCTGACATTTATCTCTGCTCATGAGAGGAGATGGAACAGCTCATTCATGAAGATGAATGCCATACAAGAGCGCTGCCATCATCCATCCTTCTGAGGGATCTCAGGAGAGAGATTTGGTGCTATATAGAGTTTTAGGGATGCTGCAGTCACAGGGAAGCCTGGCAAATCAGCTGCTCTGCCTTATTAGATTCCATTAAGTAAAATGATGTTGCCTTGTTAAAGAGATATTGTCATTGTGAGATTATCTAATTCACACATGGCTTTAGAACAACAGTAACAACACAACTCTCTGGAATATTTCTGAGCACAAGTGGAGATGGATGAATTTATAACTGCCTTGTGTACTTTGCCTCTTTCTTTGTTGAAGGCTTTATGGTTACAAAAAGTGTGAATCCTTCCAAAGATGAATGGTTCAGGGAAGGGAAAGCTTTTAACTGTGGAACAGCTGGATTGGTGTAGCCCAGGTCATCTTTGTCCCAAAATGACCTGTCTAGGGTCCAACTGATCTGAAAGCATGCTGATGGCCAGGCTTCTTGTTCTTCTTCACCCAGAAGATATACTTAAAAGAGAAAATTGTTCTTGTGGGTAAGTTTCTGTCATTCCTTCACCACAATGACCTTTGACAAATTACTTCAACCCTTTCTCAGTCTTAGATTCTTTGTCTATAAATGAGGATAAAAATGGTATCTACATCCACAGAACAATTCTGAAGACTGAAAGACATGGGATAAAACAGTGAGCCAAAGACAGAGAATACTGTAGGGATTCAATTCATGTTAGTAACTTTTAGTGATAATTATTAGAACCATCTTAAATGAATCAAATACTGATGATAGAGTCATAGTATATAGCTCACATTCACTAGCCCTCTCCTGGACTGTTGAATATTTCTTCTTTGTTTTAGACTCAAAAGTTTGTAGCAATCCTGGCATATACAGATCATAGATGTTTACTTGTTAGCCTGAATGAAATTTTTCTTGTCTCTATATCCATTTCTAAGAGGGAAGTGATAAAATGAAAACAACTTTAGTGTCAGAACTAAGACCACACTGAATACTGCTTGTGTGGAATTGTTCCAGAAACTTCATGGCAGTGAGCTCCAACGTCTCTATCTATAGAATATATAAAATGTATTTACCCTGAAAGGGTGATGTTAAGGTTGACACAAAATAGGTGAGTCATATTAATTATTATTCAGGGAATCTTCACTCCAGAAGACTGTAAACTTCAACTGAACTGTTGCCATGTCCAGGCATGACACACAAATGCCAAGCACAACACACAAAGGAATAAACCTAGGCCTTGTGATAGATATTAGCAGTGAGAAAGATACACGTGTCAAAGGGGCTATGTGTGAAATTGTAGGGGAATTATTTGAGCTGAGAGAGGAAACAGGTTACGTGAAGATGATGACAAAGGTCTTCTATGCCATTGTAACATAGGAAGCAGCTAATGTAGGAAGGATGAATATTGCTGCCTTGAAGACACCCTTCAGCGTGTTCATACTGTAACAGAGAAAACAAAGACAACTAACTGGTACATTTTATTCTGCCATGAACAAACTGAATCATGATAGCATATTTCACTTTAGAGACTTACTAGACATTTTGTCAAAGGTCTCTTAGCAACATTGTCTGGGGGGCATTTTCCCCTACTCTCCAGTGTGATTTCTAGAAAAGTATCCAGCGGTCAAGTCTGACATTTGTTTTAGGTTCATCCAGAATTTGGCACACCATAGAGGTTGCAACAAAACTTTCTATAGCTGAATTTCATTCTCTACAAGCTAGAAATTAGTTTCTAATTTCTTCAAATCTTAGCAGGGTACAACTATCTTGGGAAAAGCTGGCTTGCCAGAGAGGAAGTTAATACCCTCAGGCTACAGGGGGTAATATGAGATCTCTCTCCCTCTCTCTCTCTTGTATGTGTGCATGTTTACATGCACACAGGTGTGAAAAGATTTAATATAGTCAAAACTACCATCTGTTATTTTTTACTCTATCACTGGGATCATGGATTCTTAAAATCATGGATTCAGCCCATGCTATTTCTCTTTCCATTCCACAGGAACTGGTCTTTCCTTGGAGACCAGGGTGGTTTTAGTCAGGAAGAACATACAGACAGATACAGAGATTTCATTACCCCCGTCTTTCTTGCTTTCTGTAGCAATGAAAGGAGGGCTAAGTTTGTGCTGGGTAAATATCCTTGTAACATGACTTCAAAGTGGGAAGTACAGTGGGAAACCCACAAAGCATCAATATTTAATGTTGCATGCAACTACTGCTCTTCACGTTTCATGGGTAGGCCTGTAAAAAGAGCAAGGCCATTGCCAAATAAGACTACTACAACCGGTTCTTATGGAAGTCTATTATTTTCAAGTCAAAATGCTCACCAAGTTTCTACTGTTTATAGGTGAAAAACCTGGTGACAGTGGGCATTTGAAGATGATTCTACTTGTCTTCATATTCATGATTGTGTGTGTGTGTGTGCATGCATACTCACACATGTATATTTTATAGATTGAACAGTCTTTCATGTTTTAATGCAGTGTTCCTGCCCTGGTAAAAAGCCATAACTGACCAATTCCTGTTTGTTATTCAGCTAGGTATAAAGAAAAATGTTCCTTTTCATTGGAGCCTTTGCAAGTGTCATCAGAAAGTGAATAAAGACAGAACACATGTGCCTTCCATGCCTTCTGGGTGGCCATCTGCTTCTTTGCATACTTTCTAATAACCAGAGCCTTAGCTTTTGGAGAAACTTCAAAACTTTGGGGAAATCTGGAAAAAATAGAGCCAGTTAGCTATCAAGATCTAGATAACACCATGGGGGAAGGTACTCTTTTGGAGCTAATTCTGTGAGCACATAAAAAATAGATTCTATTAGTGTGATTCAAAAGCCATGTGGGAGAGTCGCTTAGGCCTGGTGTTGCTGGGGGAGGTATTCTCTTTTTCTCCAGAATGAAAGAGTTGGGTTGCTATATTAAAGGAAGTTGAAGCAAGCAAACTGTATTGGGCTGTATTTGGAAGGACTGACTGCCTATCACATACCTACCCCTAGTTTTATAAAAATTGAAACATCACAAAAAGCATGGAAAATACAACAGCGTGCTATTAGTACCTTTCTTATACAACTGCCATTTTGATTTAGTAGTGGTAAGGAAAACATGAGGGCAGCTAAAAGAAGAAAAGAATAACCGCTTTCTATGTTTTGCAAGAATACACAAATAATAATCTACTTCTTCCCTCTCTTTTTCTTCTCCCTCACCCCAAATCCCAAAACCTCACAGTGAGCCAGCAAGCTAATATCATGCCAAAGGTGGAATTGGTGTTATGTGTATTTTGCATTACTATGCAGCCTAGATGATAACATTTCTCAGGAAAAGCCCATGCAGCTGTCTCAACATCAGCAGGCAAAACGAGAGTATAACTGGCAGCATATACTGAAAATATTGCTTGCAATATTCTTCTGGGTACAATTTACTTTTATGCTGTTATCTGAAGTATTAAATTCGTTCTTCAACTTTGACAAAGTAAAATGTGCACTCTTGAGCTTTAAGAAGCTTTGAGATGACAAAGACATTCCTTTGGAAAGGAAATATTTTACAGTGGAAAGAACAGTCTTTTCAGCTAGAGAAATCTGGGTTCAAATCCTGTATCCGGCACTTTCTTGCTTTAAGGTCAACTATTTTTTTTTTCCCTAAGCTTTCATTTCTTCATTAGCACAATGAGTTATTACAGCAGTGACAAAGAAGACATATGTGAATCTTGAGATGGAATTCAATGTTTAGTAGCAATAGCTAATAAATCTATTTGTCACATGCAAAGGGTGTGAGCTGCATGTTGATATCGTAGATTAGCGCTGTATTATACCTTCATTAGAGAAGCTTCTTATTGTAGCAGGAGGCAGTTAATGCAGAGATTCATAACTAGTCAAAGCGCCGAGACTGAATGGTAGGGTGTTCAGCCCCGAATGGGATATTTATATCACCCGCTCCAAAAACTTAGTACACAACACAGAGGAGGGGTCAGGTAAAACATCAGAATTAGAGGATTCTAATCTAGGTGATATGCAGCAAAATAGTTTCTGGACATGACATAGCAAAATCCAACAAAATGAAATAGATCAGCTGTACTTTATAAGGTTGTGCAGAGTGACAAGGATTGGGGAACCAAAATTTGGATGTATGTATGCAATAGAACAGTACAAAACAGAGGATGCTTACATAATCCTCTTTTTCGTAGAACAATGGCCTGGTGCTGCTCATCTGCAGATATAGAAAGGGAAGCCACAGTATATATACCACAAGTGGGAGATATTGGGTCAAGCTTATGTTTGGCTAAACTGATATATGAGTTGCCCGTGAATTCGCTGGCCTGTATCTTCATTTTCTAAGTTTTACCCACAAACGTGTTTTTGATCATGAGTTATGGTTCTCTTGCCAATATGTGTAACACAGGAGGTTCTGACATTTAGAGCTTTGGAGCCTTCCCACCCCATCTGCATCTTGTGTATCCTCACCCCATCCTCACCTTCATTCATCTTCATCCTGTCCTTTTCTTTCCTTAGAAATCGCTATCGACAGAATGCAGCTGCCGTGGATGGAGCATCAGGGAAGCACTATTACACGCTCACCTTTGCTGTCACCTTCCCACACAATGATGATGCCTGCTACCTGGCCTATCACTATCCCTATACCTACTCCACCCTCATGGTAATGTCCTATTACATGTTATCCTGGTAAGAGAGGTTTTTCTGAGAACACTCCAGAGGCCCTGGCATCAGGGACAAATAGGGGGGAGGAGAACTATTGCCTTCCTAAGACAGTGAGGTTTGTTGTCACTGACTTGGCTGGTATTCCGTGTTCTTCCCTGGTTGGAACACATGGTTGGGTCCTGATCAGTGCTGTTCTAAAGGCCTAAGTAGTTTACTGGTTCAGAGCGAAAGTTGGGGTCATGTCTTAGGGGTTCTGTCTTTAGGAAGTCCACAAGTAAAGGATGAAGTTGTTAGATGGGCAGTGAATTAGGGTTAATCCGTGCAAGTAGAGGATCCCTCACTAGAAGAGAGGGGTAGAAGCAGGAGAGAGATTCTGCGTCTGTGAGTCTGAGTGAGTCTGTAAGTGAGCATCCAGGTCAGCTTCTCCAGTGGATCCCAGGTCTGTGTTTGAGAAAAAGGTGGAAAGAGAAAACAATTAGTCCAGTAGTCATGTTATTTATGTAGCAGGTGCCGTGTAAGTCAGCCAGACTTAGAGTTATCCCTTGTTTTGCAGCCCTTACAAAACTATTCATGGGAGAACATTGAGTAAACTTACGTCTAGACCATGCAGTTTCCTATCATTTCCAAAAGTTAGCAAACCATCACTTTCCCCTAGCTATTTCATGGCTAGCCCATGGAATAATAAGTTACAGAATCGCCTTCAAAATGCTTTCTTCCTCTGTTAATACAAGATGTTACCGCCGTATTTATAATATGTATATGCCTGTATATAGCATTTAGCCAGAAGGCTGAACATTTTCATTTTAAGACTGCGATAAAGAATAGGACAAAATAACAACCATTGAAAAGGAATGGCTTGGTATAAATAAAAAACTTCTCCTGGAGCAGGCATACTTATACCACTTGGCCAAGACCTTCATGAAAGTGTAGCTGTCCTTCTTTTTTCCATATGTTGCCATGCCTACAGAGATTTTTTTTTATTGTTCTCCAGACTGCAGAAGAAGCACAACTAGTATTATTTGTGCATAATCCTTAGGAACTCAAGAAGTTAATCTAAAGAATGTGCATCCGACAATATGCTGAACCAAGCCATGCCTGTTGTAAAACATGCTTGCTGCCTTTGGGAACACACAACAGGCACAATTCACAAGTGTCTGCCTGTGTTCTAATGGTCTTGAGTGTGAATTACTGCATGTGGAATGTCTAAAGGGGAAGGAGATTAACTTTTGAATACATGTTTGATTTTTTCATTGGAGGAAGAAACAGGGGTATAGGACAGCTACACATACACATTTGTTAGACTGCCTTGGATCCTGAGGAGATTCTTCGTGGAGGTGAATATAAAACATTCAAGGGAATCTGGGAGCTTGTTTGATTTGCCTGAAACATTTGTAGATGCGTAAACCAAGGCTGAGCTGTCCCACATCTGACTAGTGACAAAGTGGGGAACAGTATTGGGCTTTCATGTTAATCCCTGTGGCCTTTCCACTTCACTGTAAAGATATGGAATGAGTCCAGTAGACTTTTCTGCCCAGGGTCAGCACTATGTTCCTGCTTGCTATTACATATCGTAGCTACTAAAAATTCAGCTTGATAAATTTTATAAGTATGGACAGTCACTGGGATCTGTGAGGATAGAGATATACAGATGGCAGAGTTTAAATCACCAACTCAAGGATTTTATCTGAATTCCTGAGTGCTATGGATGTGGTTCAGCTGAATGCTAACAGTTTTTATCAAACATGGTCCAGCTCTTATCTCAGGATGCTCTAATCTCAGGATGCTCCTGCGAGTGTCTACAAGCTGGTTCAAAGACAGGAATCAGGCTTTTGTCTTGCTCTGGGCCTCTGGGCCATTTTCTTCCTAGAGACTTGTCTGACCAGAGCACAGAGTTTAATGCTTACAACTTACATATATCCGAGGAGTGACTGGGGTCTAGAGAAAAAGAATTTTATTTTTTAAGGGAAACAAAGACACCAGCATGGGAGAACCTTCTTAGAGGGACAAGATGGAGCTAGCTAGCTAGCTAGATGAGATTGTTAACTCATATTATTTTTCTATTGACTATAGACAGTTGTGAAGAGTTAATAAGAAAAGACACAGGAAAGGCATGTGTGTGTGTCTGTGGGAGGGCTTCTTCCTTTTAAATGAGCAGAATAGAGTATAAAAATAATGTATTATCTAGAAAGTAAAAAAGATACTCTCAGTTTTAGACTTTATATTTCTAGTGACTGATGGCCTTCATCCTTTCCAGGTTAGGAGTGTAATTGACTCTGGTTTCATTTGTGAAATCCTTTCTCTCACAGCAACAGAATGAGTTGGTTCTGAGACACACACTGGTCATTTTTATTTTGGGATGTATCCTAAAAAAGTTTATTTTCCAACTGATCAATGACAACCCAATGTGAATGGTCTCTCAAGTGTAGAATTAATTGTATGTGACTTGTGGCTTAGGTTGAAGGGTAGGAAATAAATTTTCATGTGGAATTCACAATTTGTAAATCTCTTATAACAAAGATTATGTTTAAGGATTGCAAGCCTTTTTATAGCAGAGTACTGTATGCTAGACATTTTTTCCTGTGACTATAATTTTGAAACTTTAAAAGCATTATTATTTTCTTATAATAAGAGAATTAGTATTTGGTTCTTTCAAACTGATATCTTCTAGATGCTTGCCAGCAATTTTGTTGGATAATTGTTTAAATCACAGCATTAAAATAAAACTAAGAGAAAGAAATAAGATATTATAATTCTGAACCAAATAGAGTTAGGTTTCAACCAGCCATATCATGATAAAAGTAACTGAAAAGACTGCTCAGCTGTTAAAGTACTGAGATGATGCTATGAATGGCTTATATATGGAACAGTGGTCCTGGCTGAAAATGCAGTCCCAAGACAATTTTTGATGGATTAGGAGGTGAGGCAATGGAATCTCATTGAAAACTTCTAACTGCATAAGTTGGCAGAGATAGGGAAGGGGGTCGTAAGTGGGATTCTTATATTGGGAGAACTTAAAAAGCCTGTAAGTAGTAGATCATTGGGGCAAAGGTTTTTGTTTTTCTTTCCACTGATATCTATCTATCTATCTATCTATCTATCTATCTATCTATCTATCTAT